AAAAAATTGGTTTTAATACTGGATGAAGTACAAATACTGCAAAGCTATAACCAAGTACCAGGATACACAACCATTATACACACTATGGCTGCGATTTCCAAGTAGAAACATTGTACAAGCAGGAACTATAGAATGTGTCACTCATTACACCTTAATTGGATCCCAGAATGCTGCACCCTATTAATACAAACTGCCTACAAAACAAAAAAAAAAAATACTGATCTTAAAGAAATCTATGGCTCAGTTAAAATTACCCAATAAACACATTCAAAAACGTGACTCCTTCAAAAAATGCTAGAAAATCAGTTCCACCCATAATACAATTTACAAAATTTTATCCAACTTCAACTTGCTCCACAGGACAGACAGTATACTAGATAATAAACCAGTAATAAGAAATGCACAACGTATTAACAAAAAACCAAACCCAAACATAAAGAAACAACTCAGATACAAATTTACAGAAATTGGAGAGGCTGCCCACTTCCTGGAGTGCCTTACCAATGTCTCCTGGTACCAATTTCCAGTTTCTCAATTCCCAGTACTGCCATTATATAAGACAAACATTCTTAATTCTTTTTCAAGCAATATTTCTTTGTTTTGATGAAAATAAATCAAGCCAAAATCTTTCCAGTTATTGAAAAAATAAAAAACTACTTTACTACACTAAGATTAACCTGCTAAAATGTTTGCTTGCATCATTATTTTTTAAGCAGCTTGTTATAAATAAAACTGTGTATATTTTATTATGGATTAATAGGAAATTAACATTAATGTCAACACTGAAAGGACAAAGTCAACATATACTAATTCACGTTGTCTGAAACTATTTTTAAACAAGCAACACTAAAATTGTAAGAAAAATGAAAGAATATTGCCACAGTACATTTATTTTGTAAGCTTCATAAAAGCACAGATAAGCACGCTGTTAATTTTGTCAACACATGTGGCCTTCACACAAAGGAAATACCATTTTTAAAATCAGCTGGAAAACAAAAGGGCTGCTAAACCATGAGAGGTAACACAGACTAAAACATGGCATATTGTGTGGAACTACTTCATCTCTCCAAATCGACTTCAACATCAATACTTTTAAATGGAAACATGCTTCAGTTTTTGTCCACAGGATATGACAAACTGATTAAACTCAATGAATAGGAATTAACAAGCATCTTCTACCCAATACATCAGACCAGCTACATCAACCTACATCTGTATAGATGCCAATTACAGCTTATGAAACGATGGTTTGTCACTGCAATCAAGTCAACTTTGGCTAAACACTGGAAACATCATCAAAAACAAAACAAAACAAAAAAAATAGAAATGCTTTGCAATTCACTTCCAATACAATGGATATCCTCACCCTCCCCCCCTCAAGTAATCCTTAAGCTTCACCTTCTGCTAGAATGCTTTCCTGGGAGAAAGAGACATCAAGACACCAGCAGGGTTTTTGTTTTGGGTTTTTTTTCCTCCTTCACGTTAATGTTCTTGTCAACTACGGAAGCATAACAGTGAGCACTTTCTCCAGCACAGGACTGACTACGTTGGATTTCCAGCATTTCAACCAGTTTGAAAGGTGATCTCTCAATTTCCCTCCCCTCTTTCCCAAAACCACACTAACAGCAAACCATGATTTTCAAGCTTTTTTTTCTGCAAAATAAACGCAAAATTTTTGGCAACAGAAAATTCCATTCCTTTGTCAGACACGCTCGCAGCGTGCACACCATTACAGGAAAGTTTCTTTTGGTTTATCACACACCCAATACATGGGGCAACATTACAATATTCCTGACCCTTAATCTATACCTCCAATAATTCATAAAATTGTACAGATCTCATGTGCCATCTGCCCTTTTGATTTGCTACACCCGGCAGCACAGCTTGGTTCAGTTCACGATACTACAGCCCCATACATCCTACAAAGCAAAACCACCAAAAAACGGGTGACTGCAGCACAAATAGAACCCACAACTAAATTAAAGCTCTAGACATGAAGCCCCCTCCATCCCTCAAAGAGATCCCAGTTTTCTTATTATTAAATCCTATCAGGGTGTGGCTTTGTTAAACCAAAGTTCCCACTGCAAATGCCTCCTGCGATCCCCTCCAAGCCAATGCACACCTTAGTGAACCCCACCAAAAATAAGGAGTGTCTTCTTGCATCCAGCTACCAAATTTAAGGCCAGAACAGCCTCCTCCTGCTGCACAAGTAGCCAGGCAGGGAAGGGAGCTGTTCCCCAAACAGTTACAACCCAAAAGCTCCCGTGAACCTCCCCAGACAGGTACCCTGCTCCTGCCACCTCAAGCACAGGTAACCAGGGAGCACTGCCAGCGCCCACTGCTCCAGCCTGGCAGCCTCTGGGAAAGGTTCAATAGTAGGTGTGCTCCTCTCACATCGAGGGGAGCACTGATAAATTCCTGCCTTTGTGAAGAATTCCTCTGGAAACATGACTCAATGGTTTTTCTTACCTGCTACACTTGCACATAAATCTCACACTGTAACGTGCTGCCTTCCAGGTTCTTAAATCAGTCAGTCAGGATTTCATAATTATGTAGTCTAGGGTCTTTGTTAGCTGTTGTTGCTCCATGCACAAAAGGAAACATTTTGTTGCTATCGCTGTAAAACCTATTAATTAACTGCACATATATTCGGCCACAGTTTCTACTATAAAAATAACTGCTACATTGAATTAAAGTGGTCTGCTAGATTAATTGTTCTAAAGCCCTCAATAGAGCATAAATTGCATAAAGCTTCACACAGAACAGGAACGAAGCAGAAAATACCTTAAAAATAGCAACTTCTTATCGGTAACAAAAACACAAGCACGTTCCTTCAAAGTAAAGAGCACAAACAAAACTGAAACTGGTTCAAACCAAGAAATTCCTCTCGAACATCTCTGCACAGAACAGCAACGGTTTAATCCTTCTACTTCCTTAAATAATCTACCTTTCTCAGAGACAAGTTTTACAAAGAACATGCTTTGTGAGGTTACTGTGCAATTCATAAACGTACAAAACACCATCTGAAAACTGAGGTGAAATAGCAAAATATTTGGTTTGCTTGGGGATTTTTTTTAGTATTCACTGCATAGACTCGCAGCTTAATACAGTAAAAGAACATACATAGATATTTCTGAAAACGTATTTCAAAACTAGCAAAACGCCCTGCAACTTCAGATTCTATATACTAAAATTACAATTGACTGGCATTTTTTAAAAAGCATTACACGTAAGAAAGGCACAAAACTCAACTAATAGGCTGAATTGCTCCTCGCACTACCTAATTTTACAGTACGCAAAATTAAACTTAAACCAGGGATTTTATGCGACAGATGATCTAATGACATGTGAAGCTTTTATTTTCTATCTGGCATCCTTAAGCTCTATCCCATACGGGATTCGGTCTAATATTTCCAATAGCCTCAGCAGCATTCACACAGCAGACACGAGTTCTGGTCCACCAACAGTTAATGTACATTATTTGACTGGTTTGACATGTCACTCCCCTACCTTTTTGATTAATGGGAAAAAGTGCTCTTATAAATAACTCTGAAAATCGAAAGGAAACCGCGAGATTTTTTTCTTTTTAAATATAAGCAGAAAGGAAAGTGTACTCGCTTCTCCTTCCATCCCTCCCCCCTCCCCCCACGTCCTGACATTGAGCTTTTCCAATCCTGCCAGAAATAAAACACCCAAACACAAGCACAGGCCTAGGCTATCCAATTCAACACGCTTTACAGTCAAATCTTCAGATCAACCAAAACCAGCAGCAGAAAAAAAATAATTCTCCACGATACAGTCCGGGCACAACAATGGGATGAGCAGTGTCAAACGCCAGACTACTGACAGGAACAAGCCAGGAAGCAGGAACCAGAGTAGCACTGTCCCCTTCGCTTCAGCCGTGTGCCATTTCAAAAACAGTTCCACTCATTCTGTAACCCGAACGTTTCCCTGGCGTGTGGTGTTTTAAGCACAGCTGGCAGACACTCGGCCCGCACAGCCTTTGTCAGCAGCTCACGGATGGGCAGCAGAACGTGCTACAGGTTGATAAGGAGGGCACCGGCGCTGCAAAGCAGCAGGAAAGCGCCCAGAAAGAACTTGGGATGCGCAGGAGAGTTTCCCTCAGCCTTCACCGGGGGCTCCACGCTCCCCACGTTCGCTCCCGGTGTTTGTTTCGTGTTTACCTCCCCCCCCTTCTCTTTCTCCTCCCTGTCCGGCCATCTTGGGCCGACAGGAGCAGCCATTACTTAACTAAATGACAGGGCCAACAACTTTCCACAGAGACAAACACCTCTCTCCGGACACCGGGCCGGGCGGCAGCAGCCCGCGGGACGCCCCGCTCCCTGTCAAGCCGGGACGGCGGGCGGGACGCGGGGCTCGGTGAGGAGCGGGCACGCTGGATGGAGGCAGCGGGGCCCGCAGAGTAAACAAGTCACTCGGACGGGCTCCGGGAGCCGCTCAGCGCCGCGCCCGCCCCAGCCCGGACCCCGCGCTCCCTGCGGGCTCCGGCCCCGGCTCCGCTCCCGGCGGCTGGGGGCGAAAATCACGAGGGAGGGTCCGGGGAGCGGCAACGTCAGCAGCGCCGAGCGCGCCCTCCCTCCCTCGCTCTCCCCCCGCTGCCGCCTCCTCCTCCTCGTCCTCCGCCTCCCCCCCTCCGCCCCCGCGCCCCCTCCCCCGGCCCGTCCGCTCCCGGCCCCGGGTTCCGCCACTTTCCCGTCCCAGGGCTGGACGGGCACCCGCATGGCCACGCTCCCCTCGTCCCGCTCGGAGAGAATGGCGGGGGGGGAGGGGGGGCTAAAAAGGAAAGGGGCAAAGGCGGCAGCAACGCGCTGAGACCCCGCGGAGGTGGCGGTGCCCCCCGCACACCCCCTGCACACACTCACCGTGCGGGCCCGGGGGTCCCGAGGGAAGGGGCGGCGGGGCCGCCTCACTCCCCATCCCCCGTTTCACCCCCCCCCCCTCCCCCCCCATCCCCGCTCCACATCCACCCTCGCGCTTACCTTTAACAGCAAGGCCTTCGTTCTGGCGCCATCTTCATGAAGCCTCAGAAATCCGAAGAGCCGGCTGCGAGGAGGGGAGCGGGCGGGAGGGAGGGGAGAGAGAGGCACCGGCGTTAGCGAGAGTCAGCGCGGCGGGCGGGCGAGGGCAGAGCGCGGCCCGGGAGCGGCGGCGCACGGGGAGCCGCGGGCAGGGGAGCGGGGGGACACGGAGGGAGCGCGGGCCGAGCCGGGACACGGAGGCGGCCGGGGCGCAGTGGGGAGCGGGTACCTGTCGAGGCCGGATAGGGCTTCTCTCTCCTGGGCTGTCAAGCTGGCGAAGTCCTCCTCGCTCTGGCCGCTCGCTTTCCCCGCCGCCATTTTCTTTTCCTCATCACCGAAAGGAGCAGCAGAGGCGGCGGCGGCGAGCGACACTCCGCACGATTTCATGGAAACGCAGCGTAATTAACTCGCGGATCGCACCCCCCCCCTCCCTGCGCGCCCCCAACACCCCCCAGCGCCGGGCGGGGCGGGGTGCCCGACACACACACACACCACAACTTTTATTACAACAACAACAGCCGGCAGGGAGGGGGAGGGAGGGATGGAGGGAGGGAGGGGAGGGGAGAGGGAGGGAGGGAGGCGGGGGGAAGCCCCGCTGCTCGGAGGAGGAGGAGGGAGGGAAGGAGGGGGGAGGGAGCCCCAGCGCTGGAGACTCGGGGGAGGAGGAGGAGGCGGCGGCTGCGGATGGCGGCGGAGCGGTGTTTACATCGCCGCTCGCCGCCGGCGGCGCGGGGAGCCGAGGTGTCGGGGAGCCGGGCGGACCCTCCCTGCCTGCCCCGTGGCTCGGGGTGTGTTTTGCCGCCCGTACAAACTTCCCCGGAGCCGCTGCCCAAAGTTGTTGTAATTGTGTCACACCGCGGACCCCGCGCGCCGCCACCGCGACCCCCCCCGTCCAGCCCCGCCCGCCCGCGTCCGCGCAGCCAATGAGCGCCGCCGCCGCGCCCCACGTGACCTTTGTTGACTTACGTCAGTCATTGCGCTCCGCCGCCGCTGCGCCCCGGTTTGGTTGGCTCTCGCCGCCCGCCTCCCCCGCCGGCCTCACACCATTGGTCGGTAAGTGATAAGCGGGGTGGGGTTTCGGAGAGCCGCCGTTTGTGATAGGTCGAGCGGGCCGTCAGTCAGACGAGCTTTTCGATTAGCGAGCACCAGCAGGTTGGGATGCGCCTTTAAAAGCGAACGGCGGGGGAGGGGGGAGATGTCGGGAGTGGCGGGCGCCGGGGTGGGAAGAGGAGGAGGAACGAGGGAGGGCTGCGCTCGCGGGTGGAGTTGCGTAACGGGGGCTCCGTGCTGGAGGAGTGGACGCTGCTGAGGAAGGCGCCATATCCCACCGGCGGGGGGCAGTAGGCACGTTCGTACCCCCCCCCCGCCCCGCCTCGGGCGTGGCGCTCTTGACACAAGCGGAAAATAAAGGCGTCCGGGAGCGGGAACGGGGCTGTACGGAGCTGTGAGGGAGATGCTTGGTCGGCGTGCAACGGTCGCACAGAAGGGCGGGGGCCGCCCCCGCCGTTGGTTTCGCCCACCCCCGCCTCCCCCGGGAGCCCATGACAGGTGGAGCGGGCCCCGCCGGCGCGCGCGCGCCCTCGCGGCCGTCACGTGGCGTGGCCCGCCGCGCGCGCTCCGCGCGAGACGCGCAGCAAGTCTCGCGATGCCTCGAGGGCCTCGGGGCGTGAGGGCGGGGAGTGCCCGGCCCGGCCCCGGCCGGAGCGGCGGGAAAAGCGCGAGGGACGGGAATGGCGACAGCGGGGAATTCGGGCTCCTGGGCATGCCTCGAGTGTAAGTAAATCTCTGAATGTTTTTAGGCGTGGGAAGGAAAGGAGGTTTGCTGCTTGCTCTCCCTGCTTCGTACGGCTCAGCGCAGCTCCAGCCCGACCTGTAGATGAGGCATTACCTGGGCAGCACAGACTGCCGTTAGGGACTTGAGAGGGCATCTCGTCCCAAACGCCTTGGACAGGGACGGCTTCCGCTAGACCAGGTTATTCAGAGACCCATCCAACCTGAACGCTTCCGGAGATGTGACATCCACGCTTGTTCCTCTGCCTCCACACTGTCCTTGGGTTCCTCCATCCTTCTCAGCTCAACGAGGAGCCCAAGGGACCCCGTTTTCTTTATAGTGCCACACAGCCAGGAGGCTTTAGGGCTTTTTAAGTAAGGTGTTTGCAGATCATTCGATCTTGGCTCTGCTGTGGTGTGTACGAGGAGCTGAGCCCTGTTGTGGCTGTGTGAGGGCACAGCTCAGTCCCATTTTGCTGAAAATGGATCAGAACACCCTTCTGTAACAACATTGCATCAGTTCTCTGATTTTTGAGTGAAGCTCCGTGTCTGGGCTGGCTTTTCCCATTTGAATTTCCTGTTCGATGATTACTGGGTACTCTAAAGTAAGAGTAAAGCCCATTAGCTCTCTTTGGGAATTCAGTGAAGGCCAAAGAGCAGCCTATGCAATGGATGCTGCTGCTTGCTGGTTCTCCTTTAATTGCCCCACTCCAATCATGCTCACAACACTGAAGCCTGTTTCTGCCTCTATAAGTGTTAAACTAACGTGTCAGTGATGTTTTTCAGGTGGATCCTCACGTGTTTTCTGGTCCTGATGGTGCAGAGACACTGGCAGGAATGGAGACCTGGTCAAGACAAAGTCTTAAATAATGCAAATGAAGGCTCAGAGTAGTGTGTCCATGCTGCTCTTAATAGCAGACTCCTGTAATGTAGCTCTGCTTTCTGATGCAAATGCAGGAAGAACAAAAAAATGCATCTGGGTTTGATGATGTTGCATTTCTTCATAGAAGAGTCAGCAGCCACTTTGTTGAGAGGGTATAAGAGACAGGCATTTGTGTTTAAAGGACTTGCAAGTTTGAAATCCAGATAAAACCCAAGTTATTTTTGGTTCTGGGAATGGGCCATAGTCTGTTAATAGTGGGAATGCTATGATCAAACATCTGTGTTCATCTGTGTTGTCCATGGCTTCTTCTCTGTCATGGATTTTCTCAGCAGAGTTTCCTCAGGTGCCAAAATCAGTGCCAAGAGCCTGACTGGTTGGGAATGTGCCATAAATATGGGGTTTCAATGCAGATTGTTTCTCAATCTTGACTCTCAGGTGTAAAGTTTCCACTTTGCAGTATCCTGAGTATAAATCAGCAGAAATGGGAGTAGACAAAACCATTTTTCAGTGGAAGGAAAGGATTACTGAACAACAGAGCAAATCATGAGACTGTAGAAGCAGAGTCCTTATCCAGCTGAAACTTGTGTGCACCTGAATTCACAACCTCTGAGTTACCCCTCTAGTACTGTCAGTGCCACTCTTAACCCCCTATACCCTGCCTGAATTGCTGGGATGGAATTTCCAAATGCCCTTATTTATTTGTTTGTTTATTATTTATTTATTTGCTGTCAGGTAGGAAATCTGAAGGAGCAGTAGATTAGTCCCTGTTGGATACAATTCAAATCTCATGAATAGTCCAGGCATACTTTATAGTCACCTGCAGCAAGATCCATCCCTGGAAAAGCTGTGGTGTTTGAATCAGTTCCAGTTGGTTTGGTTTTCATTCCTGCTCTTGGAAGTTCTGGGCAGCTGCAAACCTTGACCAGCTGAGCAAATGAGGGCAGAGGTGATCTCCTTAGCCAAGAGTCTGAAGAAGCTCAGGAGCCAGTGTGATCTCTGCTGCTGCTGCTGTTTGAGAAAGGATTTTGAGGTGTGGAGTCAACATTATGCTCCCAATAGCTCAGGAGGCCTCTGACTGTGAGGCAAATCCTTTTGCAGCAGAGCAGGTAGAATGTGATGAGACAGCCTTGGATTCATGTGACAACGTGCACCTATTGAAAGACAGCAAAGAAAAAAGCAGGCTGGCCAACAGAACCCACAGGAGGCCATTTTGTGTCCTACAAAACATAAATCTAATACTTACATTGTTGCCATCTTGATAAATTTTAGTCAACCTGCCTGAAATAATGTGGCTATTTGGCATGTGAGGGAAAGCAGCATAAATTAATATAATCTGCCAATAGGTCAGTTCTGGAGAAAGCAGCTTCATTAACACTTCTCTTTTTCTGCAGTTGTTTTCCTTACTATTGTTTTCTTTTACTCCAAGGTGAAAGAAGAAAAGCTTAAATTGCTAAACTATTTTCTTGATATTAGGAACAAAAATCCTGTGTGCTTCCTTTTTGTACTTTGGCAGTGGCTTTTCTATTGTCCAGGAGTTAGCAGTAAAATTACCTGCAATTTACATGTTCCTTGTACTACCCACATTAAAGTTCTGGTGGGTGTTGTGTGATGATCTGTGTTTTGACACCATGTGGTGGTCAAGAAAGTGGGAAAGCTGATCCAAACCCCAAAGTTTTGGGTTGTTTTGGGGTTTTTTCTTCACAAAAAATGACAAATGCTTTTGCTGGCAATAAGGAAAACCAATACATGGATAGGAGAATTATTATTGAAAATAGGAAAAAATCATCACAATGCTGTTTATCACTATGTTGAAGAGAAAATTGCTTTTTAATCTCAGAAGTACTTTGCTAGCTTTGGGTAGTAAGGGGAGTGAACTAGTCTAGGAAATTGGTTCTTATAAAGAAAGAAAATACAGGGGTTTTTTAAATGAAAGGTTTAAAAATAAAGTCTAAATGTTTGGTTATAGACTCTTATTATTATTATTATTCTGTCTTGCTTGAATCACGTAGTCATTTTTGTCTGTTGCAGTCTCTGTCCTTGGTTAGCATGAGTTTAAAATTAAAACCTGGATTGTCTTTGAAAGGCTTAATGCTGGAATTCATCTGGGGTTAAGTGGTAATTCATGGTCATAAGAAGTCCACACAGTCACCAGGTAAGCAGTAATTTCCATCCCTGTGCAGCAGCATGGCAGCAATTCAGTCCAAACATGGAAAACCATGAATTTGTGTCACCACCTTAACTGTGTTCTGAGCTGTTTGATGACATTCAGAAATCAGGGCGTTTTGGGGTGTTCTGTAGATTTGCTGTGTAAGAGAGACCAGTTCTCTGCATGCCAGCATGAACACAGGGACCTCTTTGCTGAAGCTCTACCAGTGAAGAAACAACTGCTAGAATATCTGTATCCTATTTTTGCAGTACATAGATCTATGTTATACCAGCTGACAGTTTCTGCTGACTTGGAGAAATAAATAATGTCAAAAATTATCCTTGTCCAGGAGGTGGTTCCTTTACAGTGCTACTGTTGGTAGATTTTACATGTTTTCTCAATTGTGCCTGTACCTCCCACCTCCAGCACTTTTGGTTGTGTCTTTGGTATGCATTCCAAATGTGGAAATGCTTTCATTTATGGTAATAGTTTTAGGTGAATATCTGTCTTCCCCCTAGGAAGCAGATGTGGCAGTTTATGACTTGATACCTTCCAAAGAAATCACTTGTTTGACAGGAGATGATCCTGAACAAGGATCTCTGCTCTTCCAAAACCATGCAGAGAAACTGAAATTTCTTGCATGTGTTTCCATGCAGGAATTTGAGAAGCTGATAATAAAATACTTTGTATGTATTACCTTGTCTTCAGATTGACAGTTGTAACTTCATAGAATTTGGCAAATGCTGTAAAGAAGAGGGAAAAAATCCCATCTTTTTATTTCTGTGGTCTTTTTATATGTATTGACTTAATATTAGTTGCTGGGCTTGGAAGTGAAAAACAGATCACATTTCTAAACCAGCTCTGAGCAAAATTATGATGGTTTTTGTGTAAACATTTGAAAAGAGCCAATCCTGATGCTCAGCAACCCAGGTGAATGGATATCTTGTTAACTTTTGCTAATCCTGGGACAGAATCCAATATTATTATCCAAAATACTTCATTATCTGGTATTTTTGTTTTTCTCCAAGAACAGAGGATGCCACATGCTCTTACTGGA